ATCTTAAGGGATTCAGACAAATCACTAAATCCTTCATGTGTACTTTATGTTGAGATGGAAACATTGAAGAACAAGCATGCAGCTGAGCAGGTGTCCAGAATTCAGATGTTAAAGCCTGTGTGGCTTTGGTGCTCAGCCTGGGTGACACGAGCTGCCCAGCTGCCTGCCTGCCCCCTGCCCTCCTTGCTGCTGGGAGCTGGCAGAGCCAGCCATGCCCCAGCTAGAGCAGTCCAGGCCTTTTGCATAGACACTCCCTGTGCTGCTGGCTGTGGGTGTTCAGTGGAAGCCATCAGGAACAATGCCCTCATTCAGGCAGAGCCTCCAGCCCCAGCCGGGCACACAGAGCCAGCTCCCAGGAGAGGGGAGGCTCTGGGGAGGAAAGGGTTTGCTTACACATAAAGGTAATGAAGGGCTCTTGCCCTGTCTAGAGCACTCCAAAAGCAGATACCCAAAGGCTCAGAGCTTGTGAGCTAGCTTTTATCCTTTTTTTACCCCCTTCTTTTAGGAAGTAAGTTTTCTCCTGGCTTTAGGAGCAGGGCTCTTGTTGTAGTGACACAGATGGGGCACAGACCCCAGAGCAGCAGGGGTACTGCTCCCCTTCCTTCACTCCTTGGATCCCTGCCCCTTGCTCTCAAGAGATGGAGGATCCCCAGGGATGATTCTGGGATATCAAAAGGAGCCCCTGAACCTGGCAGTGACATGCACACCTCCCAAGGGCCATGGCTGCTGATGGAATGGGGCTGAAGCCAGCATCCCTAGAGCCCATCTGCAGTGAGCCTGCCCTGGTGTGGGGAGCACTGGAGAGCCCTGTGTGCACATAACACAGCTCAGAGCATCCTCGTGTGCCCTGTCGGAACAAGAAATGCAGCTGTGCTGGAACAGACAGAAGGGCTGTGCTGGCACAGGTGGGGTGGCTTGGAAGGGTGGGCATGGCAGATGTTTGAGACAGGCTGTGGTTTCAGTTCCACAAAAAAGGCTTCATGTCCTCAGGCCCTGCAGAGTAAATAACTCTGCACTCCTGCTGCCTACTCCCCAACAGAGCCTGCTCCATTCTCCAAAACCAGCCAGGGTCCCTCTCCCATAAGTGAGAGTTACTGTGTATGTTATGAGGTTATGCATGACACTAATTTTCATCTGCTTTTAAAAGAAGGCTCAGCCCAACAGCTGGAAGCTGTACTGGGTTTGGCACAGAGCAGCACATTGCCCTGCTTTCTCCAGTTGCCACACCAAGACAATGAGTTAAACACAACAGCTGTGTGGACAATCAGCTGAGGAGAAACCACATATGTCTGCAGACAGACCAGATTTTGTTCATATGAATCAATCCATTTCTAGCTCTGATTAACAACAGTTTATAAAACACCTCAGATTGTTACCAGGGTTTGTCTTTCATTCATGTCTCCACTTTTCAGTCTAACCCCAAGCATATCCCTTTGTATGTGCAAGAACATGTGCCCTAGTCCTAAACAGACCCACCCCCTTTCCCCTCCCAGTTAAAACATGTTAACTTAGCAAGCAAACACTTCTTTCTACCAAGTCACCATTTTACTCCTTATCAACACTAACCTGTTGATTTCTGTTAAGAAGACAACCTCTCCTTCATGGGCAAACAATGTTCATCTCCTTGGGGGAGCACTGCAAACACTCCCAAGAACCCTCTGACAAGGAACTATGAAGTTTGAATCTTTGCTCAACAGAGATAGTAAAACATGAATGCCAAACACTTCTCTTTGAAGAACTGGGCTGGAAGCTGCTCTGATTACCATTACAGACCTCTAACACATTTAAAACAATAATAATCTTACAAAACTCTCCATGCTCACATCACTTAACATTTTAGACCATGAGCATAGGGCTGCATCACCCATGGCTGAGGTGACAAGGGTGTCAGTCTGAGAGGCCTTGACAGAGATGGCAGGCAAATGAAGGTGTCCCCAGCCCATCCCTCAGCAGCAACAGCGCCCTCAGCACTCCTGGGGTCTGCAGATGTTGGTCACAGACCAGCCAGCCATGTCTGACAAGCGTGGTAGGGAGCAGGCAAGAATCCATAATGCCCCCAGAACAGGGAGCACAGGCTGGGACAGCTGCCATATTCAAAGGCAAAACACATGGGAAGGGGGGGAGAACACTCACAGGAAACAGAGGAGGAGCAAGAGCAGCTCTGCCCTTGTCACTGCAGTGACCACCCTGCAGATCTCCCTCTTGTCCCCTTGGGCTGCTGGGTCTGCTGCTCTTTCTGCCTCACACACACTGCCTAATCACAGGGAGAAGGTGCCCTTATAACCAGCACCTTCACCAACAGCAGACATTCTCTAGGGCAGCCTGGCAGGGAAAAAACCAACCCCTGTGCACTTCATGATTATCCTTCAGAGCTTCAGCAGCCTGAGAGGAGTCAGGAGGCAGCAGTGTCCCCTCCTGTGCAGCTGCCCTTGTGACCTCATTTGCAGTGGCTGAGAAAGGAAACCCATTCCCAGGAGGGTTTCACAATCTCTCCTTCACTTCCCACCAGGCAAGTCCAACAGCCCGAGCTCTTCCCACTGCACGGGTGCCACCCTGCCAGCCCCAGCCTCCCACCCAGCCCTGCACACCCCATCCAGCAGGATTCCTGTGGCTGCTTCACCTCCACTGAAACAGCAGAGACAGCTGCACGTGCCACCCCAGAGTCTGGATTGTTGCACATCCCTGCCCGTGTTTAAAGGAAGGATGCTGCTGTTTGCTGATGATTGCAAACTTAATTTCATAAGCAGCAGGACAGATTTTGTAGTCAAATTCATTTTCCCAGAACACCAATTCATTGCTCAACAGCCCTGTTTGAGTCCATCCACCTCCATCATTACAGGATTTCCCTGCACAAGTGGCAAGGATGAAGACTTCCCATAGCAAGGCATCAACAAGTTATCCCCACCAGAACAGGCACAAATCCCTGGTGGTTATTAATAACAACCCACTTGTCTGCCCTCTCCACCTGCTCCTCAAGGCTCCCAACTCCCCCAGCCCAGCCTTCCCCCACACCTCACCAGCTCCAGGTGGCTCCTGTCACCCTCCACACTGGGGACACCTCCCAGGCACTGACCCAGCTGTGCTGTCACCTCTGGCTGCCCCACAGGGCTGGCAGTGCCTCATTACCACCCCTGCTCCCACACCAGCACAAACAGCCCTGGCAGGGCTCTGCCATCAGTTGTGCTCGCTATTTATTCATCACACATGTGCAGAACATCCCCGCTGCTCTGAGGGAGCAGTGTGCATGTTTAAAAAGAAATTATACAAAACATAGCTGAATCTTAATGAATCTACTGCTTTGCTACTGGAACTGAATGGAATTGCGCAGATCCTGCCAGGATGGAATAAAAAACCAAACCAACTACACAATATTTGATTTGTAATATAATCCTTAAGATCGCTTTTGCAGTGTGTTATTATTGTGCTTATCAGGCACCAGTTGTAAGGAGGAAAAGGATCAGAATGCAACAGGCAGCACAGTGCCAGCCCTGTCAGAATGCTAAAGTGTTGCACAGTGAAAAAAACACACAGTCCTGGCAAAAGTTAACTTCACACAATATGACACCTCAACATTAGGAAATGACCTATTAGCTCAAATTCATCTCTGAGGTGTAAGCAAACCCTTCTGGTTTGACAGCAATAAGTACAAATGGGGTCTGGCAGAAATACGTTTGTTTAGTACCAAGTTCCCCACTGAAATGTTCCAGTTCCATGAGGAGGACAGCAGTTACAAGGAGAGTCCCATTTCCTCTCAGCAGGTAAAATTTACCGCAGATTTACTCCATGCTATAAGGGGTGGATCCGCCTCCTCCAGAGAAGGTTTCTGCACATCAGCAGGAGCAGAAATCAAAGAGCACCCACACACATCCGAGAGCTCCGTGCCCACATCCCACCTCCTCCCGCCCCAGCTGGCAAGGAGAGCTCATGTTTGGAAAGTGCCCAGGAGTGCCCACAGCAGCACGGACCGGGGATGTGCCAGTCTCGGGGCTCGGGACCAAGCAGCATCAGGCAGGAAGCGCCAGAGCCATTGATTGAGGGGATATAAATGGGCTGTGGGTGACAGCCAGCCCGGATGAGAGCTGCCAGGGAGAAGGCTGCGAGCTGCTCACCTTCCTTCTCCCTAACCACCAAAACCATTCGCGTTTGGAAAACAGGACACTCAATGTCGTTCAGCCTGGGAGGGTGGGAAGCCCACGCAGATGGGCGGCTTAGGACCAAAGGCGGAACGGGCAATGCCAGACAACTGAGCGGCTCCAGAAACGCAACAAGCCGCTGCTTTTAAGTGGCAAAAAAGCTCCCGATGTCCGGATCGGATAAAACGTGAAATTTTCCCGCATGTCTCTTCCTCTCCTTCCCTTCCTACTCGGTGCCCGGTGCTGGCACGCAGGGAGTTCACATCCCCGGGCGGGACCTGCCCGCGCTGCCCCGCACCTTCCCCACCGCTCCCCCGGCCGGGCACCGCTTCCTTCCATCCCCGAGCTGATCCCGGCCGGGCACCGCTTCCTTCCATCCCCGAGCTGATCCCGGGCGGGCACCGCTTCCTTCCATCCCTGAGCTGGTCCCGGGCGGGCACCGCTTCCCCTCATCCCCAAGCTGATCCCAGGATGGGCACCGCTTCCCCTCCATCCCCGAGCTGATCCCTGCCCCGTCGCGGAGATCGCCTCCCCGGAGCCAGTTCCCATCCCCACCATCCGTCCGCCTTTCCTCGGCGGAGCGGGATCCCGCTCTCCCCGCCCGGTCCCGCTGGCGGGACAGCCGCTCCCGACCCGCTCCCGCAGGGACCCTTCCCCGCAGCCCATCCCGGTCCCACTCTCGGGAAACATCCCCTCGGGAACTATCCCCGCATCCCACCGCCGCTTTCCCACGCGGGGGGACAGCATTCCTCAGCATTCCGTGTCAGGGCTCTGTCACACCCCAAACATCGCCACCCGCAGGTCCCCAGAGCGCCCGGCGGTCCCCGAGCGAGGACACGGACACGCGAGACGCCCCCATCCCCTCACCTTTGTACTTCTCCATGGCGATGAGCGGGACCGCAGGGCAGCGACCGCCGAGGGCTCCGGGACACGACGCTGCCCGCACCCGGCTCGGCTCGGCTCGGCTCGGCTCGGCTCGGCTCGGCTCGGCTCCGCTCCGCTCCGCAGGCTCCGACCGCAGCCCCAGCGCCGGCTGCCCCGGCCCGCCCCGCTCCGCCCCGCCCCGCCCCGAGCCGCGCAGCTGGCCGGGATCGGCTCCGGGATCGGCTCCGGGATCCGGGCTGCCAGCGGCACCCGCTCTGCCGTGCCTCCGAGCTGACCCTCCCCGGGGCGTGGGGTCGGTCCCCGAGGGGAAGAGGCGGGCACCGGGCGCTGGGATGAGGCGGGGAGCGGCTCCTGGGGATGCCCCGGGTTTGGGATGGTGACCTCTGGCTGCAGTGCAGCTTTGGGCACGCTTGGGAAATGCCCACGCTTTTGGGAAAAGCCCTTATTATCCCGGGATAGCCATGCGTGGTCCCGGTGCCATGAGCCCAGGTAGGAGCCTGCCAGACACACCTGGGCTCGGGGCTGGCAGGCTGGATGGAAAGTGGGGTTCTCCTTCCACACCGGGGTAGTGTATCCCAGAGCCACTGAATGTGCACTCTTCTTCCCAGTGATCGCATTAAGGCTTCCTGATAGGACCTGGCTCCTGGACAGAGCCAGTCTCACAGGAGTGTGTCCCTCTCCTTGGGCTGCAGTGACATTTTTGCCTGATTTCTGCCATGACAGCCAGAACTGTCATGTTCAAAGTGCACAAATAGTCACACGTGGAGAAGTGGGCATCCAGTCTGACCTCAATACGAGGCACAGGTGACAGACTGTCCTCAGGCTAAAGTTGTGGAGACACTGAAGGAATTTCATGTGTATATCAATAATGAGAACATTGAAAGTAACAAACAACAAAGTCTATGAGGGCTATAGAGGAAATTTTTTTTTCAAAATTAACGTTGGTGTGGGGACAAGGGAGCCATACTGCCTATTACAGGGCCTTTATAGCAAGAGGTGAGCTAAGGGCCTGACCTGGGTGTGCAGCTCCAGGGTTCCTGTGGAAAAAATATGCAACCATTACCTAGAAAATGAACTGCTCTCCTTGGTACCTGTTAGATGAAGCCAACAGAAGGCTCACAGAATTCGTATTTGCCAGGTTTTGGACCTGTCAGCCCACAAACCATTGATATCCATGGTCCAAGGTAGCCTGGAAAATGTCAGTGCTGCACCCCAAGGCTCCATCATATGGCCCTCCTTACATTTTCTGAAAATAGCCACAAGCAGGTTCTCTTGGCTCACATGGAGAGCCAGGCTGGATGGAAGAGCCCTGTCCTGACACTCCCTGGGTCCCTGTGTGCCCCTGCTGTCCCCACCCTCCCAGGCAGTGCTTGGTGGGATGTGACCTCTCAGAGGAGCTCTGTGGAACCAGAAAGCAGTGACCTGTGCCACCTGGGAGCTCTCCATGCAAGAACAAGGCTGGATAAAGAGTTATTGCCACTCGGGGGAGCTGAGGCTGGAGCATCTCTCACCTCTTGCCAGTGCACACCCACCACACAAAGAGACAGACAAGCCAAGTGCCTGAACCATCAAATCCAGCAAGCAGACAGCAGTCTGCAGTAACTGCAGAAAAATAAATAAATATGCCTGCCACGGAGGAATGTTTCTCTTAGGGCTCTTCCCAGCTGCTTCTTGGCTATGGCTTTCAAAATCTAGCAGGGTGAGCCTTGGCCTTGCAAACCTTTGAGGTGTGCCTCTGTCTTGAAGCAGGTGAGCAGGCATTCTTAACTGAGCAAGGCTAATTAAGGATAATACCAGTTACACAAACTAATTAAAGATGATTTTGAAAGATCAAAACGTCAGATACCTGTGATTCCTGTCTTCAGGACCCAGAGCCTTTACATTCCCTGCTTGTCCTTTCCTTCCCTTCCCATGATAAGGATGCTCTGGAATTCCAGGACTGCTGGTTAGGCCCATGGCAATTGCTGACAAGTGACAATGGACCAAAGAGTAATGCCAGAGGAATACAAGTTCTTCCTGTTTGCCCTATTGCAGTAGGAAGTACCTAAAATACTTGGCAGTATTCTTTTTCAAACAGGCTGTTGTGTTCTGGGGTTTAATAAAACTGGGAAATACCCAGACCCTGCTTAGAATGAGGGATTAATGTTCCCAGTGTTGCTGCTGAAATCTAGATATTTACCACTGTGCTCAAGTAGAGCAAACACAGCAAACTGGTTTTCCTGTTGGAGCTTCTTGAAGCCAATAAAATAACAGCCATCTACCTGTACACCCATGTATTCATTGCCTTTTTCCTTCTTATTATTAGTTATGCTTATTAATGATGATGATTATTATCATTAATGATGACTCAGGTGTGAAAACCCTGGAGGGCCAAGCTCATCTGTTTAATTGCTTTTTTATGTGGCTGACATCCTATCATTCAGTGCAGAGGTTCATAGTGTAGTTGACATGTTTTGATCCTTTTTTCCCTGCCTATTCATGCTGTATTGGTAGGCTGCTAGTGAAACTGGCACTTTTGGCTGAAGTTTTCCTTTAGCTGTGGCTTTCAACTGATGTAATTCTGCTTCTCTGGACTTACTGCCTTCAAACTCTTTTGCTTCCTGGGAAACAGTGCAGGAATCAAGGATATATTTAGAAGCCTAAATGAACTCTGAACAATTACAATGATTTGCTAAATACCTTGTGTAGTAGCATAATCCAAATCATCTCTTTTCTCCACTGGCAATGCTAAACACTTTTCTAATTTCCCTAAGTACCCTGAGCAGGTGCACATTGTTTCATTAATATTGTTGATTGTTATTGTTATTATTATTGATTGCTACATCTACCTTTTGCATCAGCAAAGTCCTTAATGTCTATATTTGTCTAAATCTTTGCTATGGCTTTCTTCTCTTTGCTTGCACTTCCTTTGCTTTTTCCCTGGTTTCAGCATGACACAAAGTGTGGTGAAAGCCAGAGGAATCTTTCCTTGAGAACTTGTGTGCAGGTGCCCTCCACTGATTTCAGGGGAGTTGTGCTTGATGGAGACTGTCAGGAAGAGCCACACCTGACCTGGATAGTGCAGAGCTGCACTCTAGGGCGTTTTCTCTCAGATATTGCTCAGATATTCCAGTTCCAGCAGTCCCCAGACTTCTTCCTTTCTTCAGGGAAAATATTCCATCTGGCAGAACAAAAGGTAGAAATTTCCTCCACACTTGAAGTGTGTATCTTGTTTCATTAGGTTTTCTGTCTCTCTTCCCCATGCACTTATCAATGCTGTAAAAACCTAGTTCAGGAATTGACTCAACAAAACCAAGTTCAGTCAGAGTTGAAGTTACCTTGATTCTGTAAAGCTCCTGAAAGAAGGGAAGTTGTGTCTAATATTCCACTTGCACAGGCACCTGGAGGACAGATGGAGGAATAAGATGGCTTGGCAGGCTGGGGTGAGCAGGGAGATCTCAGATCTCCCTTGTGTTGCCTTTGTGTCCTCTTTGCTTCCAGAGATCATCTTGGGTCCCTCCTTAGATAAAGATGTAGTAGTGGACAGTTGTGGTCAAGCAGACATAAAAGTTTTTCAGAGAGATTTGAGTAGAGGTGATTTTTGTGGCCTGAGGTGTGTCCTACAAAATGCCAAGAAATGAGGAATCCAAGCACTTCTTCAATTTGGAGTCCCTGGCTGCAGTACTGGGCTGTAATGCTGCCAATAATCTGAGGTGGGAGAATTCCTTTTGTCCATTTGGGGATCCCTCTGAACAGCAACAGAGCCTGTGGACCTAGGGACAGCTGAGCCAGCAAAACAACATTGCTGTCTCTGACAGGGAGAAGTCTCTGCCCTCCCACTGCTTCTGGCCAAATTATCTCTCTCTTCCCAGTGCCATTTTCACTGTTATTGCACCACCTTCCATTCTGAAATGACAGAAAACAAAAATGGCACATTCTTGTCCCACCTGGGGAGGATGAGTTGGGTGGCAGTGGAGCCAGGCAGGATTGGGACAGCACCAGGTAAGTGGCAAACACCTGCAGCTGGATGGGAGGAGGAGATCACTGAGCAGCTGGGAGCACACAGCTGGGACTGGATGGAGCAATCAGCAGTCACAGCTCAGCTGCCTCTTTGAAAGTCCCCCCAGCCTTCCTTTTGGGTGGGAGTACTGGCAGGAGTTCAGGATGTTTATGGAGCTCCCATCAATGGCTTTGAACCTTGATCTGCTGAATCCTGCTGGTGTTCCAGATTTCCTGATTCAAGGGATGAAGGGAATAGCTGGTTTTGGGAATTTGAATGGAGTCCTCTGCTTATTCCCCAAGGAGATCTGAATAGCTGGATCCTGCCAGCTGTCCTGATTGATGTGATCAAACACTCTGCATCCCATGCTGAAACTCTGAGGCACCCAGGCCCTGGGAACATGACTTTCTGGGAGGGGCTGTGATAAATGGCATTGCCACGTGGCTGAGGGCAGAAACACCTTGGAGATCCTGGGCTGCCCACCCAGGAGCATGAGCAGCAGTCCCTCCCCAGAAGTAACCCCTATGGGTGCCTTTCAGCAACCCAGACTTGTTCCTTGGTTCCTGGAAGGCACTGGCAGCCTGCCAGGCTTCAGTCAGTGGAAAAAGGGCCAGAAGAAACAGAGAGGCAGACGGGTCAGCATGGCTGTTCCAGCAGAGCTGCTCACTTAAATACTCTGTTGGAGAGCATGGATCCTTCACCTTGGATGATTTGTGAGTTTGCTGCCTATGGGTGCCTCTTTTGAGGTGTTTCTGCTTCCCTGTGGAGCATGTCATGATTCCAGCTGTAAAAGAGGTGACCACCTTGTCCCCCAGCTGAAGCTGGCCTCAGACCACTCTTGCTCCACTGACTCCTGCCCAGCCATTTCTGACTTTCACCGATGAAAGGCAAGACAATCAACCCTAACACAAACAAAACCAGAGCTGTTTAGCTGCTCAGCTATACAAAAGCTCCATCACTGATACATTCCAGCAATGTTTTGGATTCTCTCAGACATTAACTGTTTCAAAAGAGGGTGTCTGGAGGGAGGGGGCGATTTCCCATTAAGGACAGCATGACCAGATGTCTTTTTGATGAGCTTCTCTTG